TACTGCTTTGCAATTCCTTGGCAAAGGAAAGTTATCCCAGTTACATAACTGCATTTTCCTTTGTAATGTAAAAAGTATTTTGTGGGTAGATGGATTTGGATATTTAAAAAAAAAAAAAAAAAAAAAAAAGTGGTCAAATCTTTTCCTGCCCAACGACAGTATCTGCAGTGGTCTTTGGACAGAGTTTTAACTGTTGTGCAACTTCATAGTTTCATACCAGCTGTCATTTTAGCAGTCATAACTGAAGACCAAGGCATTGTCTAGGAATTAACGACAAGCTGAGAAGAGATGGCCTGATGTGCAGTAAAGGGGTAACACATGCTCATGCGACCACAGGAAAGGCTCGATAAGCTGGCTGCTATTGCGCTCTCCGCAGAGCTGATGGTTTTCTATGGTGGCTAATGTGCTAGCAGTTTTCTCTTTGTATTTTACATAGCCCATTGAATGAGAAGTTTCTTATATTCCAAAGATTTCTCCCCAACCTCAGCAACAACAAGCACTTTCCTCAATTGCCAGTTAAGACAGTAAGCTCCTTGGGGCAGAAGCTGAATATAATCTTTGTGTCTTATGTTTTATTTCTATTACTGAATAACAATTTTACCAAAAGTCTGAGCAAATCAGTTGAACTGCTAAATTTTTAGAAAATGTAAACTTAGAAAAATGTGTGCTAAAAAGCACAATATATTTCTAATATCTAGCCTAGGATGTTCTCTGGGGATTTGGTGCTGTAATTGTACACTTACATGAGGATTGACTGAGAAATGGCATAGACCTTGAAGCAACATTTCTTTACCAGCATTACAAATGTATCACTTTAAAGACAAAAATCTAACGTAAGCTGTTGCCTCCTCTTCCAATTCATGACTCTAAAAATGAGTGGCAACCCCAGACTGGTCACATGCGTATTTCAAATATCTTCTCTTCATTATGAAAGAAACTAATTTTGTAGATACAATTATGACCCGAAACAACATTCTGTATAGCACTGGTTAAAAAAAAAAGAAAAAAAAAAGAGAAAAAAAGTCACTCCCTCAGAGTAAATAAATGAATAGCAGATTTCAGTCTATTTGAATATTACTATAATTCTGATGATATACTATCGTACCCACTGTTACGTGGCAATTAAAATCATTATTTCAATCTAGAGTACCTTTGTGATATAATTTCATGTCACTTTTATGAGCTATGGAACTCGCCAATCTCATCTTTTATATTTATATTTATATATGTGTGTGACATACTGCATTAGCTATTTAGCTTATAAACCCTTCCACATTTAATTTATTTTCATGCTAGGGAAGCATGAAAATAGATTTCCCCTTCTGGCTGGCTGTAAAATTGTTTGGTGTTTGGTTTTTTTTGTTTTTTTTTTTTTTTAATATATTCTTAATGACCAGAAGAATGTTTTATCCTCATTCTTGCTTTTTAGTGGGCTCTGTTCTTGCTCAAGAACCAGGATATAGTTCATAACTGGAACTAAAGATTAAAAGCTGGATGCTACCTCATTACACCTCCATCATCTCTGTTCATAATGAAAATCAACTGAGTTAAGAGAGAGCAGAATTTGGCTTCAGAAGTACCGTGTTACTGACAACAGCCATCAGGGAGGTGAGGCTGCAACCCGACACATGTATCCCAGCCAGAGGTAGTGCTGATACTAAAGAAGCATGGAGAGCAAACAAACCAGCACCAGCTACGATGGCACATACTGAAGGTGCACATTTGTCCTAGAGCCCTGTGAGACAAAGGTGCCTATTTGCTGGCTGAACCATGCAACTCATAAATCATAGAATATTTTGGGTTGGAAGGGACCCCTAGAGGTCATCTAGTCCAGCCCCCCTGCAGGGACACCTTTAACCAGATCAGGTTGATCAGAGCCCCATCCAATCTGACCTTGAATGTTTCCAGGGATGGGGCCTCCACCACCTCTCTGGGCAACCCGTGCCAGTGTTTCACCACCCTCATTGTAAAGAATTTCTTCCTTATATCCAGTCTAAACCTACCCTGGTTTAGTTTAAAACCATTACTGCTTGTCCTGTCATAGCTGGCCCTACTAAAAAGATTGTCCTGTGAGGGGACAGGGAGGAAGAATCAAGGAATCACACAGGCTGCACAATCTGCTGGAGATTCACCGCCTGACCACCCACACCCACCTGCAGATGACTCCGCTACATTGCTCTGGAAGCTGGTTCTCAATGGAGGCAACCACCACCAAAGTTATTTCACTTACATACTTGAGCTATTACCATCTCATAATACTTGCAGAGCTTAGCTTAAGAAAATAATTTTTTCCTCACACTTTAACATACAAAACTGAGCAGCACATACTCCTGGAGATACCTTTCCTTGCTGATCCCCTGCATGTCACCCTCTTCAAAATGTCTTTCGATATGATGCAGTAAACTTCTTGTCCTTGAAGTAGGGGTTAAGAGCTTGACTCTTAAAGTCCCCCTGAAATTTGATTTTATTAAAAAATGTAAATAAAAATTTGCCCTTTTTAGCTGGGTTTAGCCCACCACCCAGAGTCCCTGCCTGGGTCAGCAATGGGGTGACCAAAAGGACGGAGGTGAACTTAGCAAAAGTCTCAGTGGTCCCAGAGCTGGGCAGCACAGAGAGTTGCTTGCTCGCTTTAGGGAGACTGAGCAATGACCTCCCCACCCCCAGGAGCTGTGGCGTGGGAAAGCACCGAGCACGCATTCCTCGGTAGCACTCAGCACAGGAAGGCTCCTGTCTTCTCACTCAAACCTTTCACTAGCACTCAGCAAGGTAAATAAACCGTACGGTCAGGGAGCTTCGGACTATTCCTCTCATGAGCAAGGAGAACGGTAGAAATATCTGTTTACAACAGGAAGACACATTTACTCCTGCTCCTTTTGCCTTGGAGTAAGCACCTGCCACTTGCAGAAACTTCTCCGTTGTCTTTTGCATTAAAGGCTTAGTGAGCTGGCTGAAATGATCTTCCTGACATAAAAATCTGAAAAGAAGTTATTTCACCTAATACTGTAGCATCACCCTAGGGAACATCATCTGAAAGCACTTGGGGCACATTCAGGCTTATACACATATGCATGAAGTTCCTCCCAGACTGTTTTGGCATAACACGTGGTTGTATCACTATTGTTTGCAAGTGTAACATTTTCAAGTGCTGATGCACAAAATTTGCTTGTCTAAACCTCTTGATTGAACAAAGGGGCCATCTTAAAAACTTCAGTCCCAAGTGAGCCAAGAGTTTGTCTTCGCAAACAGCTCAGATTCTTCTAAGCTAACAGAAAGCACATGCGGAAGCTGTGTTCTGGGGAAACAAAACCCAACAGAAACCTAGACAGGAATACAGCGATCTTCCAAGGCAGCAAAAGAGAATGCCGGTACTTTGTCACTAGCAGCGTTACAGCCACCAGTAGCTAATCACACAGCAGTCAGCTGGGAGGCAGCATGGCTGGTACTTCTCTGGGAGAGCACAAACCTGGCACGTCAGTCCACCAATGAAGCTGTGACACCCCAGCACCTACAACCGCTGGTAACTGCAAGCCACAGTTTCACTAAAAAGAGAGGTCTTCCACTGCTGACAGCCTAAGACAATCTCAAGACAAGATCGGTATGTTCAAGGAGCAAAACAGAAGCCAAAAACTGAACTCCCATTATGAGTAGGACAGATGAAGCTTGCAGGAGTCAAGGTGACAAAAAAACCCCAACCCAACAACAAAGAACCCCAGACAACATAGGCTACGTTTTTTTAAATTTTTTTGTGCCACATTCAACCCAGGTGTATCCCACACGTCCTATGAGGGATTCAAGCCAGAAAACCCACCTTAGTGTTAGAGATACGTGCTCTGACAAAACTAGCATGCAAAATCTCAGGAGAGGGTCACCTCTCAGTCCTCAGCTTTCTTAAATAATTTCTAGAATAAACTGGGTTTTACCTTGTTTCCCAGTTCTCGTAACTGTTTAGGATTTTATGTGCTCTCAGACTTAAAACCGAAGTGGATGTGTCTGTCCTTTCACATTCAGGGTTGAGAAGAACTGAGATAATTGTGTGATGACATATTTCTTGGCAATTCAGATTTAAACCCTTTCATGACTTTCTTGGAGTTGGCAAGTCAACATTCAATCTCCTGACAATTGGTGCTTCATACAGCTTCTCAAATGGAACAACCAGAAAATAAGTTTTATTTTCAGAAATAAAAGTGTATTTTGGCCTTCCTGGACGTACAACAAAACAATGTGTTATAAAGCTACAAGCACAAGGCGCTGTCTTTGAAGCCTTAAGGGAATCCAACTGATTATTTTATAATCAATTATTCTTCTGACAACAATAAAACAGTTATTCTAAACTTACTAAATCTTAGCTCAGTAACCTTGAGGAAAAAACAGCTGCTTTCAGCTCTGCTCTTCTGAACCTTACCTCAGTGGTCTGTAGCTAATTAACGATGTTGGTACTTCGGCAGTTAAAACAGGCAGATGTATCTTAGCAGGTATTAGCTATGTCTTAACAGTAAACCAATTTTTTTTAGTATCAAGGTATCAGCTTTTTAAAAAAAAAAAAAAAAATAGTGGAGAGAATATACAGCAGTTTAACCACAGAGCAGTTTGTTCAGGACAGACAGGGCAGAAGCATAATACTAACATTACAGTTTGCATGAGTGTAAAACCACCTTTGTTTTGCTTCCACTCAGAGTCTAGGAATTCATACTAACACAACAACCTCAGGTATGCAGTCATGAAAGTAATCAAAAAAAGAAACCACGGTTTCTGCAGAAAGGTAAAGCTTATATTGATCACATGTCAAGTTTTGCCAGGGTCTACTAGTGCTAAATCCAGCACCTCAGCCAGAAATTAATTTCTTGATGAGCAAACCAGATCTATGAAGACTTACCTCCTTCCCTATCCTGACTACCTATACCTAAGCTTTTCACTGTAATTGCAAAAGAAGAACTGGTCCGATACGGGGGTACAGGATTCTGACTTCTGGCACATCCTGCAAGACATGAAGCTGTACTCACCATGCATCTGGTACGTGTATGGTGCTTGCCCGGCAGTCGCGGTACTGAAGCTGGATCCATAGCTCAGAAACCCACTCTGTCCTGGGGAATGGCTCAGGCTGTCCTCTGTTTTGATGCCTTTGGGGCATATAGTAGGAACCAAAAGCAAAGCGTGAGTGTTTGTCATATAAAGGTCTAAAAAAGCCAGTTTAGGAATTAACAATTTTTCAGCTAGATTTTAACCTAATGAACTCTGTTTTTCTTACACTTTATTTTTTTTTAATCATCTGCATTACCCAAACAGTTCTCTTAAATAATAGTCAAGTAACTTCATCACAAATAATATTTGAGTCAGCTACATCCTGTATCCACATCCAAATGAACTTTTGCTAAGATGGGGAAACAACCATGAATAATATTGTTTTCAAGAACAATTTCTGAACAAATAGTTTTGTTTTAGAATTAAGTGAACTCATCGACTCATGAACTTTCTGAACAGTTATCAGATGCAAGCAATGATTAACAAAGCAACAGGGTCTTCAGTGAAATAACCTCCAGACTTCTGTTCTCAACAGAGTTATCTTTTACTTGTATTATATTTTCAGCTTTGGTAGCAAAATATTTATTGGCAAGTCATACAGGAGGGTTATCATCTATTCAGTTAGATATAACATACAGTTCAGGAACAATAGGTAAGCCCTGAAGCCACAAAAATCTTTTCATTACTAAAATCAGGCAATTAAATTGACAATTTACAGGGGGAACAGCAATAGCTGAATTAAACATTGCAAGATGAAACCTTTGCTGGTAGTGAAAGGGGTTGATATTTTATTCTGAGATGCTGCTGAGATTGTACAGCTGTATTATTAAAATAAACAGCTGAAAGGTGCATCTTATTATGTACCCTTTGGGCACGATCCTTCCCTCCTTTGCATGCCTATTTGCACAAAAAAAATACCCATTGGACACACCCTGAATGCTGGGACTAAACAAACACCGTGTTGATATTCTGGCCTTGGATTTATACACTTCCCAGGCTGTTGTCATCTTTTAGCACTTGTAGGCAAACTTGCCAAAAGACAAGTGGAACTCACATGCCTTTCACCAAACATGCTGTTTTCTAGCTTAATGACTCTTAAAAGCAACAAGTCTGCATTTGCTCAGGTTGGGAATAAGCTGTCCCAGATAATATTTTCTCTAGTAAAAAACACTTCTAGCTTTAGGTGAGAATAGCTGTAATGCCATTTGAGCACAAGTTAGCAACAAGATGACAATGCTGTATTGTGAGATGCAGGAAGTTTATTTGGACAGTGAATGAACATGTGTTGGTGCAAGCGTCCGGCTCCATTACTGCTTGGGAAGCGAAGGGATTTGCGAGTGTGCGCAGAGAAGCTGCTTTTCATAACATCCCATGCTTTTCAATTACATCAGCACTCTGCATACGAGTGTTCAACCTACCCCAGCTACAATTAATCTTCAGCGAATGGGCCTTTCTGGAAGTCTAAAAATTGTTGTAAGACAGCGAAATAACTTAGCACCAAATTAATTTCCACAGAGTGTTCTGTTTTGTCTAGAAACTGGCTGAGTTTTATTTTTGTGCCTAAAAACAATACTGCTTCATTGTTCTTGGTTGTCAGCCAGGTGGAGTTTTTCATATGCTGTGCTGAGTATCTTAGAGAGGGTATATGGGCTGGGGGAGGGAAATCACTGTTCAAGGATGCTAAGAGGTCATCCGCAGGATTTATAAGCAGCATATGGGCCTGACACATGTATGCCCTAAAGTCTCTAGGCAGTAGCAAATGGCTCTACTTTCACCTGCTCTAACAGGACAACTGTTCAGAGTTTGCCTTGGAAATCAGCCAGCTGATTCAAACACACAAGTAGCTCCAAGAAAGGGTCTCAAAAAATTCTTCTCATCATCCTGGTAGAGCTTCAGCTCTGCCAATCCCATTTCTCTGGCCTTTCAAACCACTGCACTGAATTTCCCTTCAGTAAAACCTTGTCAATGGCTGTATAAAAGCTGCTTGCTGGGAAGGGACACTGTATTTACCAAGCAAACGAAGGTGTTTAAGAGCACAAGAGAAACCGGGAATGGAAACAGAACTGTGAAGCCATTTTAATGCTGCAAGAGTCAGCACTCACAAGATCAACTGGGAACAAGGGGCCCAAAGCTTTATGTTAAGGAGCTGTATCCTAAGCAAGAGCAGTATCTCTTTAGTCTTTAGAAGTGGAAAGAACTTCCTAGCTCCCTCAAGAGCTCAGTATTTCCATGCAGAGCTCGAGGGCATTCTTAACACTTGGTTTACCAGGCATTCCCCTGTCAGGAGTGCTGGTTTAATTCGTCCCCTGCCTGAATCCCTCAGCTGCTCCTGCCCAGCACCGTCTCCCCACAGCTGCGGGCCAGGCTGTACGGTGAAAGCAGGGAAAAAAGCTGCCTGGAGTTAGAAATGTTTACTTCACCTTCAACTAACAACCATCCATTCCACTGTCTTCCAAACCCAAAGCACTCTATCGTTTCATCCATACCTTATTCTGCTCTGTGTCTTGGTTCTTCCATAATAATACACAAAAAGGTTTTCCTAAGTAGCTTGCACCATTGCAACCCCAGGAAGAATCAAGGAAGACAAAATGTAGTTTACCTAAATATCATATTTACTGCAAGAGACTTTGTCTTGGCAGTGAATCATAGGAACACCCACCAGCTACTACTCCTAAGTGGCACATCCTACTGGATCTGAGTTTCTCATGCTGCCTCGTATCCTACTACTGACTGGCTCCAAACTTACCTAGTTTGTAAGCCCATAATCCAGGATATCAAGAGCTGATAGATAGTTCAACGTAATCCTAACAATTTTAACAAACTCAGATTTTCCTCTAAGCCTAAGAAGAGAACATTGCCAAGATAGAAATGACCTTTCACTCTAAAGCTTAAGACTTCTAATGTATTTTTCTAGGAGCAAGAGGAAGATTCAAAGGAGGATACCTTCGAAGGTAACATGATGTCAGAGTACTCACTGTAGGAGGGTATGCCATAGGGCTGCCCTGGAGGAGGATAGGCAGTGTATGCAGCAGCCTGCTGGATTCCCGTGCTGTACTGAGTCTGTCCATACGTTGCCATTGTTGGGAAAGATGGGACTGTCACTATATGGGGATAATGTCTATTCAGAACAAGAAAACAGAAGGTCTAAGGCAATAGTTACTGTACATGATCTTCTAGAGCACATGTAGAACATTTCCACACATTTTGATAAAATAATATACAAAGTATGAGGTGGATATTTTGGGAACTCAGAATTGACTCTACTGGGGCAAAAGTTTGTTTCAATATACAGCTCCTGATAGGAGCTATTAAGATTAAGCTACCTACATGCATGGAGACTTCAAAACTGTGCAAAATATGTGGAAGTCAAAAGAAAAAAAAAACCCAACACTGGTTTTTCATGTTTCATTTTGAGTTTGCCAAACAACTGAGCATCACGAGAAACCTCTGACATTTCAACATATTCTTCTGTGGTCGCTCATAAACACAACAATATTCAAACTTATAAGGTTTGGATTCGCAGGGGTACGAAAGTACACTGCACAGTACCTCAAACCTTCTTTCACTCCATGTCTAACCAGATTAGGAGCCAGTTACTTCACTGGGCCAGAGACATGCAGGGGAACAGGTGGAGGGGCTTAAGGCAAATGCTTTTTAAGGTGACAGAAGTCTGCACAAAATAGCTGTTCAGCAAAACACGGTTTTTAAATTACAGCACTTGGCATGAGCACTCACTTTGTGGAGTACAGATGTAGAGGACACTGCGGTGCTGCTTTGCTGCTGCCTGGAAAACAAAATTAAAGGGTCTTAGATTATCATCATGTTCTGTTCTATGGCCAAACTGATGCCACTGTTTTTACCACTGCTGGTCTGAGATAAATATACAGGAACTAGAAGACTTTGTTTTTAGTGATCTCCACAAACTGAAGTAGATAAGAAAGTTATTCTCCACTTAACAACAAATAATATAGATTTAGTTTAACTGAGAGTGATACTGATTGATTGAGATACGTTTCTTCTTCTTCTTATGGGACTGATATCAATCATGAAGCCGGGCTTTGGTGGGATGACTCATGTGCTAAAGCCTATAAAAGCAACTACTGTGATTATAGAAGTGATTTAAGCTTACTGCACTTTTTGCCATTTTGGTTTTTTTGGTATTCTCCTAGACCATGACTCACTTTCTTTAATGTTCATTAAAATACATCAAATCAAAATAAATATTAAAAATACAACAACAGTCAGTCTCCTTACTCTTAATTTTTTGAGTTAAATGTAACCTATCTTACTGACCTGCCAGCAATCAAAATATTAAACCAGTGGAAAATGTATCACACAAGTTATACGTGCAGGATGCCTTCCAATGTACAAACAGTTGTGTCCTGCAACACTACCAAACAAAAATGTGGCACCATCTTCATTTAGAGAGAAATTTAGGTTTAATTAATTACAATTTTTAAAAATCGAAATTAAAACCTGCAAGCTGTCTGCAACTGAAAACACCATACCTAAATGCCACTGAGTATTATGCAGGTTGCCTCCATAACGCCATCCAAATTTTGCTTCTCAGTTCCTGGCTGGAGCTGTTAGATGTTATTACAGCACTATAAATGCCAGAACACCCTCACAATCATCAATAATGACATTGGGCACAACAGATTCAGCCTCTCTATCTGCTGGCTGAATCAATGAACACACCAGACTAATTGCACACAGCTTCTCCGTGCAGGGAGAACATCAAGCATCATGTCTGCTTATGGCAGCACCATCATCCTTGACATTGGCTGCTGGCGTCTGTAGCGTTAATATGTTACACGGGGTAGTAAACATCACCCAGTCTCATGCAGAAGATGATCTCTCAACTGCAGATGCACATGCTGGGTGGAAAGGGACATTCCTGCAGTGCTCCCATGCCTGCACATTGCTACTGCCAGGCAGGAAACATCAGCAGTGCTGTAGAAGGATTATCTTCAATATGAAGTCATCCAAAACAGCACCGCTTCATTTGTGCAGCCGTTTGTAAGTTGGTGAATTAAACATTTAAAGCATATGTTATTTAATGAAATAAGCAAGTAGATATAAAGTCCAAATACATGCAAATAGTTCTACGGGTTTGAGTAACTTGTTATGCCGTAAACATGGAGAGAATGTCCAAAAAGATCCGATGTGGTCACACACAAAATGTTCATTCTTCCCGATTTAACTGTCTTTTGAAATTGTTCATTCCTACACAACCCTTTTTCACAACATTTTACATGGCTTTATCATTTTACACTATAATGTGAAGATTACACAAAACTATTTTTAAAAACACAGATATGTAATCTGATATTGAATTTAATTAAAAATGTGGTTTTATCTTTGTTCACTTTTTAATGGATAAAACCCAATGGAGGTGCATGAGCTTAACTAAAAATACTAATTACTAGATATTATTCTTATTTTTAGAATGTTGATTTGTATGATGTCTACTGCATGTAATAATAATACTGAAAATACTAAGGATAAGATTTTTTTAGTATATTGATTTGTATAATGTTTACTGTATATTATACTAATGATACGAAAATTCTCAATTTCCTAGGAAACATAATACTGAGCTTAAGACTGAGCTGAATTTCCTAGCAAACAATAACATACGATTAAAAGATGGAAACATTTAAAACGCACACTTTCTTCAAAAAGGAGGCGCTTTTTTTGCAAACTCTGAAATCTTCAGAGATAATTTTATTCCAAAATTAAAAAAAAAAATAATATGCATGTACTCTTTTCTCCTCCAGGATAATTACAGTTGTTCAGTAAGAACTACATGTTAGGTTAGAAGAGATAAAAAATGTGGAAATAAAGGTGTCTGTGCTTAGGTGCTTACTGAAATCATTTCTGCATCTGAAAGCAAACAGCCTTTTTTGGGTAATGTTCCCAAGCCTCTCAGCTCTCCCCCCAGCAACTGCCACCCAGCTGAGTGCCTGCAAGCCCACTGCGATCGCTTTCTTGCCCATGCCTACCTTTAAGAGTCTCCCAAATGTTTCACATGCAGTATCAGCACAGTGTCACTGCAACATTGCTGCTTTAGGGAAGGTAGCTCTGGTAGCAAAGGCACTGACGGCTGGGGGAACAGCTTTCAGAGCAAGCTGGCCACGACTGTATCGACACTGCTACTTACTATTAAGAGAAGAACCCAGCCTGTGTACATGTATCTGTGCAGCAACAAACCCCAAGACTCATCTATCCACAAGCCTATGTACTGGACTCTAATCATAGCACCATGCTGGACATCTGTTCCACCCCCCTCCCTGAGGATGAAGAAACAGAAAAAACTTTCCCAAATACAGCCCCTGTGATCAAACTCCCTTTCATCACCCACTCTCTGCTCTTCTTCCTCCAAAGGGCTTTCCTCTCATTGTACCCTCCTCCACAACAAATTCAAGCCTTGTGCCCTTTCTGATCCCACCTCTCCTAAGTTGTCCCCCTGTTCTGCCAGAACTCTCGCTTTGGCTGAGGACACCCCCAAAACACCACAGAAGGGCAAATACCACAGCTACAACCCCCTTGTGTCCTCTTCCAGGGTCCCCTGCAAACACTGCATGCACTGAGCACTGACCCGTTTGCAAAGGACAGCTCGGGCAGGAGCGCGGGCCAGGAGAGGGACTGTGCACCTGTACAGCCCTCATCGCTAACAGAATCACCCTCATCACTGGCAGAAACAACATCATAAGGACTCCTTCTTCATGCTCTTACAACCCTGAAACACCTTAGAAAAGTAAAATCACAGAATTGCAGAATGGCAGGGGTTGGAAGGGACCTCAGGAGATCACCCAGTCCAACCCTCCTGCTAAAGCAGGCTCACCCAGAGCAGGTTGCACAGGACATCGTCCAGGCAGGTGTTGAATATCTCCAGAGAAGGAGACTCCACAACCCACCTGGGCAGCCTGTTCCAAGACTCTGTCACCCTCAAAGTAAAGAAGTTCTTCCTCATATTGATATTACTTAAAAAAAAAAAAATTAAAAATTGACAAAGGATGGTGTTATACAAATGTGCATATTCATTTACATGCACAGAAAAAAAAAAAGGTTGTTTTTAAATCCAAAGCTGGGCTTACCTGACTCGCCTTCAGACTCACTATGAAAAATTTGCTTTGACTTACCTAAAAGTTTAGAAAATTAGATTTTTATATTGTGAAAATAAAAACTGTACCATTTTTGTCACACTGTTCTGCACTGCCAAACAGAATTGCACTGAAGAAATACTTTTTTAGTTCATTTAGATTCATAGTGCCTTTTACATTTGAAAAACAGCAGAACAGTTTGAGCATAAGCTTAATTCTTTTCTATTTGAAAAAATAATAACTCTTCAATTTTTTTATTTTTGAAAGAGGTAAGTACAGAGTAAATACATTTCCCAAGAGGGGATTTACTGCGTGTGAATATGCAGTATGCTACTGTCATTGCCAAAAAAAGGCAAGGTAAACCTACATGTGTTTCTATCCAAAAGTGTAGGACTACAAGCAAAATGTGCATTTGAAAATTGTATTGATATAATTGCATATCTCATGATAAGCACCCATGAAAACAGTAGGTTAGACATCTACGTGGATATCTACACAAGTAAATATTGCAATTAGACTTGCTAAAATTGAAACTATATGTGTTATACAGAGCATACATTTGTGTACATTCATTGTGTTAAAAGCTCTGGCAGTCTGAGACTTGACACAAGTATTTCCCTGTTCTTCAAATTACCAAGAAGTATTTTCAAAGGAAAGAACATAACCTTGGTAGCACAGGGGATCATTCTGTAGAAAAATAACGATAATATTTCTATAAGAAACATACCAACATGAGCTGTCACTAGCAAACTGGTGTCCAACAGTACAAGTGCTATGTTGGCTCTTATTTGTATCACATAATAACAAATAATTCCTGCACGAAGTTTACAAAATGATGTATTTAAAAATCATTTCTAGCTCTAATCTTTTCTGCAAACACATAAATTCAAAAGGATGTTTCCTTTAGATTGTTATCCCTTTGACTGCTTTGTAAATAGGCAGTCATGATGTATGTGATCTAGTTAAGCAATTTTTAATACCTTAGCAAACACACAAGGAAAGCGTCTCTTTGGCTTCCAAGAGCCTACAAATGAAGGGTTAAACACAACACTAAAACATAATAGCCAGTGCCTTTTGCTAACTCCCCTCCAACAGGAAGGCTGACAGATCCTGACCGCAGCAAACAATAGCTGGGATTGTACTAGCAAGAACTAGTTCAGCTGCATCACTTGCCAATAATTTTTTTAGCAGATTTAACATTCTTCTGTTTCCTTCACTTGAACAGTATGATGGGGGGGAAGGAGGAGGAGAAGAGCAGATAAATTTCCATCAGAGCCTCAACCACTGAAAGAATTTGTCCTTGGTACCTGCCAAATGTGAAACTTCAGACCAGAGGCCAGCAGGGCTAACCGTTTGGAGATGATAGCAATGATCTCAGAGCAATGCAAACTGGGGCACAGGGCTGCTTTGGCAAAATGTTTTCTGGCTGCATGATACGTTGTTGGGCCTGGGAGCCCCCACGCTCCCCAGCCCAACAGCAGCAGCACAGCCACCAAAGCACAGGGCTCACGTTCATGCAACCACTGGGGCTCTGGTGGGGTCCAAACAGAAACTACCAGTTCTACAAAAAATACGTTTTATACCTGTAATTTTTCCAGTGGAGCAAGCATATACATGCATGTGTGCATATACGCAGACAGCTATCTACACATAAAACATTTTAATTCCATTTGCATTCAAACCAATGCTGAACTAAAGGATTCAGCCACAGCTGGAGCATCTACAAAAAAACCACTCAAAAATCTCAGTTGCTCACTATACTGTAGAACTAATTGTCAGAGGCAGAGGCCTTACACGTGGCCAGTTCCCTTTGGTTACATATGTACACACACATTATGTTAAAGCCAGTAAACAGTAAGCAAAAGAGGCAGCCTACCTTCTATGTCATCTGGAGCCGTGGCATAAATGTTAGAAAGGTTAAGCTTCAGTCTGTCAGGGCACTCTCTATTTACAGTCAGGCTGGGTGATATCACTAGATCTAGCATTTCCTTATACCTGAAGGAAAACAAAGGAAAAATATAATTTATTCATTAATTATGCATGCTTACTAATGATTCAATTTTTTTCCCTAAGAGTATAAATATTAAAGCTGATTACCTAAACCCAGGCTTCATATAAATTCAACATAATAACATTCACTAAAGTTTTCATCAACGGGAAATGCTGAATTAAAATTAAGTACTTGCTCCCTTGGAGATTACACCCATCTGATTAATGCTTTCCTCTTCTTCCTGGATTTTGCCATAGGAAAACTAAATTCCCTTATCTCTTATATGCCATCAGAGTGAGAACGTACACACCAGTGTCCAGTGAGGCTGCAGAACAGACTACTATGGGCTGAAAATGAAATCGAGGGTAGTTAACAGCGTTATCTAGTCTTAGTAGTAGGGTTAGTACCAGTGATAGGATCAGTTTTCCAGGCACCTAACTACAATATCCTGACCATTAGGTGGCAGCGATACAAGGACAGCCCCCTTCGCATAAATAGCCTTATCTGGTTTAACCGAAAATTTCAAATTAACAATACATAGGACTTGAATGTCCAAAGAAAAACATAATTGTTTGCATGCGCACATGATCTACACTACAATGAAAGCTTACGAACCCCGCATTACACAAACAGTTCAGAATGACTAAATCTTTACTTCAGACCCTATGCACAACACGAATAGGTCTATTCACCTAAACACCATCATTTTCAATATACATGTCTAACTCCAGCTATACACCTTTTCAGAAGCAGGCTCTGAAGACACTTGCTTGAAATAGAGCTGCTTGCTTCCCTTGGAAGCGTTGGGATGTTTTGGATGGGTAAAAAATATGGCAGAAGTGCATAGATCTGCAGAAGTATGTTTGCAAATTTGTATAAAGACAACAGGGTGAGTACAGTAAGGCAACCATGTGTTACATTAGGTATCTGCATGATGGCTTTTATGCAAGGCGGGTTTCCTGGACACCTTTACCCCCATCATGTTCTGCTCTTATTTCCCGTGCAACCAATACTGTGAAGAACCCACTGGCCAAAGAAAACCTGAAGCTAAATTTCTCAATAAATTGTATTCATTTTTTAAAAATACACGCAATGCTATGGAAACCTATTTGAATTTTCTGAGACTACACCAATATATTTTGCAGCTTCTGGTTCAGGTCCACAGCAAATGATGAAAATAGGAGGACTCAAAGATGCTATGTCTGTCTTTGCTTTCTGCAGCCACGTAGAGTTCATCCTCACTTCAGTCCCCCGGAGGCTACTGGGGGGAACTAGGGCTATCAGGGAAAAGCATAACCATGTTCTTGGATAGAGCAGGGCCCGGGCAAGAGCAGAGGGGAGAGAGGGCTTATGGTGGCGAGCGGATCTGAGGCACCTGGCTGCAGCCTGCATGGGCTCCCCTTTCCACTCAGCACCAAACACGCTACCGGCAAAGGCGGCTGCAAAAGTGGCTGGCAGACCCCTGCTCTCCGGCTGGGACCTATCCGAGCTGAACTATAAAGGTGGCAGATGGCACGGCAGCAACAGGACAGGTCCCCCTGTTCTGCCAGAACTCTCGCTTTGGCTGAGGACACCCCCAAAACACCACAGAAGGGCAAATACCACAGCTACAACCCCCTTGTGTCCTCTTCCAGGGTCCCCTGCAAACACTGCATGCACTGAGCACTGACCCGTTTGCAAAGGACAGCTCGGGCAGGAGCGCGGGCCAGGAGAGGGACTGTGCACCTGTACAGCCCTCATCGCTAACAGAATCACCCTCATCACTGGCAGAAACAACATCATAAGGACTCCTTCTTCATGCTCTTACAACCCTGAAACACCTTAGAAAAGTAAAATCACAGAATTGCAGAATGGCAGGGGTTGGAAGGGACCTCAGGAGATCACCCAGTCCAACCCTCCTGCTAAAGCAGGCTCACCCAGAGCAGGTTGCACAGGACATCGTCCAGGCAGGTGTTGAATATCTCCAGAGAAGGAGACTCCACAACCCACCTGGGCAGCCTGTTCCAAGACTCTGTCACCCTCAAAGTAAAGAAGTTCTTCCTCATATTGATATTACTTAAAAAAAAAAAAATTAAAAATTGACAAAGGATGGTGTTATACAAATGTGCATATTCATTTACATGCACAGAAAAAAAAAAGGTTGTTTTTAAATCCAAAGCTGGGCTTACCTGACTCGCCTTCAGACTCACTATGAAAAATTTGCTTTGACTTACCTAAAAGTTTAGAAAATTAGATTTTTATATTGTGAAAATAAAAACTGTACCATTTTTGTCACACTGTTCTGCACTGCCAAACAGAATTGCACTGAAGAAATACTTTTTTAGTTCATTTAGATTCATAGTGCCTTTTACATTTGAAAAACAGCAGAACAGTTTGAGCATAAGCTTAATTCTTTTCTATTTGAAAAAATAATAACTCTTCAATTTTTTTATTTTTGAAAGAGGTAAGTACAGAGTAAATACATTTCCCAAGAGGGGATTTACTGTGTGTGAATATGCAGTATGCTACTGTCATTGCCAAAAAAAGGCAAGGTAAACCTACATGTGTTTCTATCCAAAAGTGTAGGACTACAAGCAAAATGTGCATTTGAAAATTGTATTGATATAATTGCATATCTCATGATAAGCACCCATGAAAACAGTAGGTTAGACATCTACGTGGATATCTACACAAGTAAATATTGCAATTAGACTTGCTAAAATTGAAACTATATGTGTTATACAGAGCATACATTTGTGTACATTCATTGTGTTAAAAGCTCTGGCAGTCTGAGACTTGACACAAGTATTTCCCTGTTCTTCAAATTACCAAGAAGTATTTTCAAAGGAAAGAACATAACCTTGGTAGCACAGGGGATCATTCTGTAGAAAAATAACGATAATATTTCTATAAGAAACATACCAACATGAGCTGTCACTAGCAAACTGGTGTCCAACAGTACAAGTGCTATGTTGGCTCTTATTTGTATCACATAATAACAAATAATTCCTGCACGAAGTTTACAAAATGATGTATTTAAAAATCATTTCTAGCTCTAATCTTTTCTGCAAACACATAAATTCAAAAGGATGTTTCCTTTAGATTGTTATCCCTTTGACTGCTTTGTAAATAGGCAGTCATGATGTATGTGATCTAGTTAAGCAATTTTTAATACCTTAGCAAACACACAAGGAAAGCGTCTCTTTGGCTTCCAAGAGCCTACAAATGAAGGGTTAAACACAACACTAAAACATAATAGCCAGTGCCTTTTGCTAACTCCCCTCCAACAGGAAGGCTGACAGATCCTGACCGCAGCAAACAATAGCTGGGATTGTACTAGCAAGAACTAGTTCAGCTGCATCACTTGCCAATAATTTTTTTAGCAGATTTAACATTCTTCTGTTTCCTTCACTTGAACAGTATGATGGGGGGGAAGGAGGAGGAGAAGAGCAGATAAATTTCCATCAGAGCCTCAACCACTGAAAGAATTTGTCCTTGGTACCTGCCAAATGTGAAACTTCAGACCAGAGGCCAGCAGGGCTAACCGTTTGGAGATGATAGCAATGATCTCAGAGCAATGCAAACTGGGGCACAGGGCTGCTTTGGCAAAATGTTTTCTGGCTGCATGATACGTTGTTGGGCCTGGGAGCCCCCACGCTCCCCAGCCCAACAGCAGCAGCACAGCCACCAAAGCACAGGGCTCACGTTCATGCAACCACTGGGGCTCTGGTGGGGTCCAAACAGAAACTACCAGTTCTACAAAAAATACGTTTTATACCTGTAATTTTTCCAGTGGAGCAAGCATATACATGCATGTGTGCATATACGCAGACAGCTATCTACACATAAAACATTTTAATTCCATTTGCATTCAAACCAATGCTGAACTAAAGGATTCAGCCACAGCTGGAGCATCTACAAAAAAACCACTCAAAAATCTCAGTTGCTCACTATACTGTAGAACTAATTGTCAGAGGCAGAGGCCTTACACGTGGCCAGTTCCCTTTGGTTACATATGTACACACACATTATGTTAAAGCCAGTAAACAGTAAGCAAAAGAGGCAGCCTACCTTCTATGTCATCTGGAGCCGTGGCATAAATGTTAGAAAGGTTAAGCTTCAGTCTGTCAGGGCACTCTCTATTTACAGTCAGGCTGGGTGATATCACTAGATCTAGCATTTCCTTATACCTGAAGGAAAACAAAGGAAAAATATAATTTATTCATTAATTATGCATGCTTACTAATGATTCAATTTTTTTCCCTAAGAGTATAAATATTAAAGCTGATTACCTAAACCCAGGCTTCATATAAATTCAACATAATAACATTCACTAAAGTTTTCATCAACGGGAAATGCTGAATTAAAATTAAGTACTTGCTCCCTTGGAGATTACACCCATCTGATTAATGCTTTCCTCTTCTTCCTGGATTTTGCCATAGGAAAACTAAATTCCCTTATCTCTTATATGCCATCAGAGTGAGAACGTACACACCAGTGTCCAGTGAGGCTGCAGAACAGACTACTATGGGCTGAAAATGAAATCGAGGGTAGTTAACAGCGTTATCTAGTCTTAGTAGTAGGGTTAGTACCAGTGATAGGATCAGTTTTCCAGGCACCTAACTACAATATCCTGACCATTAGGTGGCAGCGATACAAGGACAGCCCCCTTCGCATAAATAGCCTTATCTGGTTTAACCGAAAATTTCAAATTAACAATACATAGGACTTGAATGTCCAAAGAAAAACATAATTGTTTGCATGCGCACATGATCTACACTACAATGAAAGCTTACGAACCCCGCATTACACAAACAGTTCAGAATGACTAAATCTTTACTTCAGACCCTATGCACAACACGAATAGGTCTATTCACCTAAACACCATCATTTTCAATATACATGTCTAACTCCAGCTATACACCTTTTCAGAAGCAGGCTCTGAAGACACTTGCTTGAAATAGAGCTGCTTGCTTCCCTTGGAAGCGTTGGGATGTTTTGGATGGGTAAAAAATA